AAGAAAACACACGGCTATGACAACTGGACTGATCACATTTTAAAAGAGCGCTTTCCCAACTTGGGCTATAGGTTAGAATGATCTAGTTTGAGAGAGCTTTTAAAAACTCCCAGTACCGAAGCCCCACCCACATAATGAATCAGAGTTTCAGGGATGGAGCCCAAGCAAAAAGTGGCTTAAAAATCCTCCAGGTTTGGGTGGGTGGGGGTGGGGTGCCTGGGTGGCTCAATCAGTAAAACATGTGACTCTTGATCTCAGGGTTGTGAGTTTGAGCCCCATGTATGGCATAGAGTTTATGTAAAATAAAAAAAAAAAAAATTACAAAAATCTTCCAGGTGATTTTGATGGAGAGTCACTGTTTTAAGAGATTCAGTGGCAAATATGGGGGTGGGGGTCGGGGTGGGGGGAGAAATTACTTTCTTAACTAATTTACAGGCACTGATAACCAATACAATCTGCAAAAGCTATAACCTTTAGGATGACCTTCTTCCTCCTCCAGAAAAGATAATTAAATTAATTTGAAGAAAATAAATTCATTAAACTCTTTTTTGGAGGGTAGGGGGCCATCAATAATCCTCTTTATATCTTCCCGTTATATGCACTAAACAGTTGTAGTTATAAAAGTAAAACAGACTCATCTTAGTAAATGGGAAAAGGGAAAGGAGAAAATAACACCCATTTTCCTATCATATTAAGATAACCACAGTTAACCTTTTTAGAGTAAAAAATAAATTGGGATCATGCCGCACACGTGGTTTTGTAACCCAATAATGTGAAAACCTTTCCGTGTCATTACCTAGTCACCTAAACATTGCTGTGAATGACTGCAAAGCAATCCATTGTTTGAAACGGCCATTATTTATTGGTGACTGAGGTTTGCTTTAGGTTTATTCACAGACACAATTAGGACCGTGATCCCTTCAATGACAAAGTAAGATTAATCTGATAACTACTGAAAGGTTAAACCACTGGTATAATGGTAAAGAGAGAGCGGGTGTGGTGGGGGTGGGGTGCTGATAGGTAGCATTTGCTAATTTGATTGGTGTAAATAGTCCCACCATGGCCAATTTCAAGATGATCCTTCTAACAATGGGTTTGCAAACCTGAATATTTAACAACTGGCTCTCTGGAATCAGTTCCAGCTCATTCTTAAAGAAAACCCTGGCTAAACCAAAGTGGTTAGTTCTCTACTATTTGAATGGTAGAATGGGAGTTCTGTGAATGAAAGTGAACCACAGTTCCAGTTATCTTAACATGCTGTTGTATTTTGGGATTGGAACTGTCAAGCTGGTTAACTGGAGCAGCTAGATGGCTGAAGGTCTAATAAGAGTTTTCTAAAAGGTCTTAGTGTGGAAAGTGCAAGTACACTGGAAAGACCACATTTTTTGAATAGACAGACGTGGGGCTTTGTGAAGTTAACCTTATTAAAGCCTCTATTTCTTTAACCTGCATATGGGAATAATAATGTCTCAGTCGAGCTGGTGTTGGGATTAAAAACATCATCCATCAAATATACAGTAAGCATATAATAAACGCTCTACAAATGTTAGTTGTCTTTCCCCCTTAATAATTATTACCTCTAAGGAAATGGGTATGCATTCTTTTGACACTTTATTTGCAGGGAATTTAATGAAGTTGATCTTTAAATTACGTATCTTTATGATTTAAACCAGGGGTTGGCAAAATATGGCCTGTGAGCCCAAACTGGCCTTTTTCTTTTTTTTTAAGATTTTATTTATTTATTTGATATATAGACAGAGACAGCGTGAGAGGTAACACAAGCAGGCGGAGTGGGAGAGGGAGAAGCAGGCTTCCCGCTGAGCAGGACCCTGGGATCATGACCGGAGCCGAAGGCAGACGCTTAACGACTGAGCCACCGAGGCACCCCAAAACTGGCCTGTTTTTATAAATAAAGTTTTACAAAAACTTCTAGTTTTGAAGGAACACACCATGCCCATTCATTTATAGAGTTCTACGGCCACTGTCATGCTACAAGGCAGGACTGAGTTGCTGGAACGGAGACCACAGGGCCTAGAAAGCACGAAATATTTACTGTTTGGTCCTTTACAGAAAAGGTTTGCTAACTCATGATTTAAGCCATTCTAACTTTCCTTAAGTGAATACTTTCTTTTATATTTACATATACCTAGAGATATATATATATATTCAAAAAAACAAAACAACTTAGGATAGAAAATGAAAAAGATGAGGTAAGAAGATTCTCCTAGGATTTAGAAATTGCAAAATAAATATTAGGTCGAAGAATACCTGAGAAATACTTGAAACTCCAGGATAAAGCTGAGCTCTAATTCAGTCAAGACAGTATATTTTAAAGACTATTTTATAAATGAGATTTTCTACAAGAGGGACCATTACTTCTGGACCTGGAATACACCTTAAATGTGGAACTTGGAAGAGTGAATTCAGGAGGCAGAAACTTGGAATATTATTTATAACTTGGCAATGAAAGTGAACGAAGAAACCACATTAGTCAGGCAAAATAAGCTGATCTCTCTAACTACAGGTAAAGTAACATTTCAAACACTGAAAAATGTACACAATCAAAACTGTACAGGGTAGAGGTTTAAGCAACCGTTTCCCCTAATTTTTGATGTTTACATGGAACGTTCTTCAAGCAGCAAATAAGTTACCAATGATCTTGACAGACTGAAATGATACATCTTTACCACAACATAAATTAATTCTCTCAGTGGGAAATTGTTAAAATAGGCAAGGTGTCAGAAAGATTTCTTTATGTCTGAGGGAAAGGAAATGATTCCATTTCTTCCAAACGTTCTTACATGAAAAATAATAAACTCTCACTTTTAAACTGTCTATTTTCATGGGGTTCTATGGCACCCATTACTAATTGGGGCAGTCATGGTTATCTGGTGTTGGCCACGAGTCACTCCACATTAAGTCAGGTATAAAACACTCTCCGGTATAAAACTGCCCCCATAATTCATATTATATATGAATAAATATTCATAGAAATACCCAGAAAAGCGGAGCACAGAGTTATACTATGTTCTCACAGCATTCCTTAGATTTACATAGCAAATATTACACAAAGATCCTGGAAAGTAAATCTTCACAGAATAAAATATAAGGGAAATATGGTGACCTATGTAAAGGAATGGACAAATGCCCGCCACAAACGAGCCAATTCATCCTCTACAGGAGGGTGACGCTGATTCTGTTCCTGAAGCAACTAGTTGAAAACTCCAGACCACAGAGATGAACATTTATTGAATGCTGGGGGTATACACATGCTCTCACACTTAACTCACACAAGAACCTAGATAGTGGGTATTATTAGTGATGTGTAAAGGGAGAAGTACAGATAGGAACTCTGATCCGTCTGTCTCGCACGCCTGTCCTATCTTCGAAATGCCTAATCGTGATAAAACACAGGGTGTCTTATCAGCCATGAGTCTCCCAAACTGCCCTTAGAAAGGAGGTCCCATAATCAGAGTCAACTAAGTTTGGGAAACTTACTAAATCCTTCCCTTGGAGAATAACAAGGCCTGCATTAAAGAAATCAGTGTACTTTGGTCTAACCCATCCCTTTCCCTATCTTACTAGGAAATGCCTTTCCCTCCAACTACTATTTTGTGAAGTAAATATTCTGAAACACAATTTGAGAAATACTACTGTAGTCACCTCCCTTGATAGGAGATGGCTGAAAGAGAGAGCTGCTGTCAGAGAAAAATCAACTTTTTAGCCACAGTCAAGGGGGTGATGCTACAGAGATGATGGTGTGATTCTAGGTGGCTTCTCTTTGCTCTCAGGATCAACCCACAGTGCCCTGGTCCCCGCCGAATGCCCTGGCCTCGCCTCACACGGGTCAGCTGGCCTCTTTCAGTACCTGGGACCTGCCAGGCTCCTCCTCACAGAGCTTCTGCAAAATGTTCCCTGGCGGGACGTTCCTCCTTTCCCTCTTTACCTACTTGAGTCCTACTTATCTTTCAGGGAAAGCCTTTCCTGAATGTCTGTCGGGATGCTCTCATATCACTGAGTTCTATATAGCACTTGTCATGGTTAAGGTTATATTTATTTACTGCCTGTCTAAACTCCGACTGTGGGGCAGGGAAATATATTCCCTGCCTCTCGGATGGGAAAAAGAAGAGGAGGGATCTTTCCAGCCTCCTTTGACTGTCCTTACTCATTTCTGCCCATGGAGGAGCAACTACTTAGTGGCTTTCTGAACTGGGGAGAAGGGACTGTGCATGCTCCTCTCAGGGCGCAGGGTGTACTCGGGTCTGTTCGGCCTCCGTGTAAAAGGGCGGTTTGGGAAATAAGTTGAATTCAGGGAAGACATACTAAGAGAAGCCCAAAGGTTATGGATCCAAGTTCTGTTCTGCAGTTTGGCTTTAGTCACTAATAAAGTTGATTTTGATCTTTCCTGTGGCTGTTGTTTTTCAGTTGCTTCTACATCTGGGAGGGGAAGACAAGAGTGTGCTTGTTGGCCCCCTATAATACCAACGTCTCCCACTAGGCCTAACCTCCTTCGGGAGGGGGATGAGGTCTCCTTTGGCTCACTATGGTAGCTTGGTGCCTGCCACACAGGAGGCACTCGGAATTTTTTTTTAACATTCATTATGGAAAATGTTTAAAATAAGCAAAATAGGGAGAATGGTCTAACGAACCCCTGTGTACCCATCACCCAGCACCAACAATAATCAACACTTGGCAATCTTGTTTCATCTACTCTTCTACCTGACTGAAGCAAATCCACTTCAGGCATTACAGATGGCAAAGGTTCAAAAAAATACCTATAAAACCATTATCACATACACACTATACACAACAATTAATATTTCTTCAGTGATAGAGGACTAAATCAACAAACTCACAGAGACCAGTAAAGGGTCTGAATTGTCGTCGGTCCCCAGCCCCTTTCTGCCCCCAGCATACCATACATGGCACTCACGCGCACGCTGTTCCCCAACAACTATCCCCCCGCACCCCTGTCCAGATGGTAGGGCCGAGCCACTCACCGGTGGGCGTGCTGCTGCGGAATGAAGAGGAGGGGGTGATGGGTGGGGTCACGGGAGGAGTAAGGCTTCCACTGCTGTGGCGTGGCGGAGTGGACACATTCCCTCGAGACACTGAGCTGGACAAGGTCAGCGAGAGCTTCGGCTGAATCTTCTTCTTTAGGGACTCCTGCTCTCGGCGGGCAGCATCTGTCATGAATCTGAAGCAACAATGGAAGGTGAGTAACCGGGCCCATCTCTGGAGCATGAGGAATGATGACAGCTCCTCCAAGTTTGACAGATGCCCCACCCTGGGAAAAGGGGCTTGTTCACAATCTCAAAGACTTACAACAGATTCCCTTTTCCTATGGGATGAAATAATCTTCCAGCTCACTGTCTTCAGGTTCCTCACGGGTAGGCCCCATTTCTCCCTGAGGCAAACCCTCGGAAACTTGTACACACAGACTATGTCTACACCTGCTGCAGTGCCTGGGGTTAGAAGGCTTCCTCTCTCTCAGAAGGTCCTCTCTTTTCTTTCAACTCATAGAAAGCCCACCCATTCTCCAAGTTCCCCAGCACTTCCAGGTGGAAAGGGCCTCCTTTATTGGTGGGTGGGCAGGATTTATTGTTCGTACTACTTCACTGCCACTCTACATATGCAGCCTCCTGAAAACGGATTCTTTTTTGTCCTACTCCAGATCCTCAAGTTGTTATTTGGACTTTTAAAAATTTTCTTGGCAGACTGAAGGTCCTCTCTCCCTAACTGTTAGCTGAAAGGAAAGGACACAAGTCCCCATAATTGCGGCTAGCACACTGCCAAGTCCATCTCAATTAACATTTATAGAATGAGTAAATCTGCCCAAGCAGATTCTAGAAGAGAGCAGTACAAGGAGGAAGATGACTGCTACAGACCCATTTATGTTGTGATTTTATTACCCATAAAGGGAAAGGCAACTTTTCCTGATCATTTCACTTTGGAAACTTCAAAGTTATCCCTTCCACACTTCTCTTATGTTAGTAACATTCAAACCGTTCTTTTCTCACTGTATAACATTTCATAAATTCATGTAATACAAGATTCAAAACAATCTACGGCATATCTCTCATCTAAAGAACAAATTTTTTTTGGACATCATACAACTTTTTTTTTTTTTTTTAAGTAGTTTCCCTGCCCAACATGGGGCTTGAACTCACAACCCTGAGATCAAGAGTTGCATGTTCTACCGAAGGAGCCAGCCAGGCGCCAGCAAACTTTTTTTTGTATTATTGGCAGGCAGGCTTTGTCAGCTGCATTTCTGAAAACTGCAGCAGAAAGCCTAGCGAACAGAGTGCATGAAAGCATTTAGGGAATGAAACAGGCACTGTGGTTGAAACTCACTGCCTTGGCTAAGAGGACATAACCATGGCCTTGCTCAAGTCCTCCCTGTACCCAACCCCCCATCGTTACATTCTATTTTAATACAATTCATCATTAACTCCATTTGACTTAAAGTGGTATTAATGACCCAACACCTTTCACATTCTGTCTAAAAAATTTCTTAGTATTTGTCTTCATTATGCTAAGAAGTTTTAGAAGTCAACAGATAGTTCCAATGCCTGGTAAAAAACTTAGCCAATCAAATACCCAATGAAACAATATTACAGTATTGTTACAATGTCTTAAAATGTCTACTCTTATACTTGGAACATGGATGGCACATTTCTTGAATGGCTTCTGCAATACAATCTAGATATATAATAAACCAGATTTTTATGAAGAACTGAATAATAAAGCTACATGCTTTGCCTTGAGCTCTTAGGTTTTGTGCTACAAGATGGTGAAGGCTTATTTATATTTTTATTTTTTTTAAAGATTTTATTTATTCATTTGACAGAGAGACACAGCAAGAGAGGGAAAACAAGCAGGGGGAGTGGGAGAGGGAGAAGCAGGCCTCCTGTCGAGCATGGAGCCTGACACGGGGCTCAATCCCAGGACCCTGGGATCATGACCTGAGCTGAAGGCAGCCGCTCAACCGAGCCACCCAGGCACCCCAATGGCGAAGGTTTAAAAAGAATAAAGGAACACCACCACAAAACAGAATTGTTTGCACCTGGTAGCCAGGTACTCATTTACTTTCAGATGCAAAGTTGGCTCTACTGTTCTTAAAACTGTTTTCCACCCCCCGCCCCATAAACTTCTACTCAAAATATGGACTCTCAGAGAAAAGCAAAGAACTAGTGCTTTCTTCTATCATTCTAAGTAGAATTACTAACTAGCACAGTGCCAAGCTTCTCCAACTGGGGTACATGGTAGGTGGGGAGTGGGCAAAACCACAGGATAGACATACTGCTTCTTCCAGAAAGACCAATGGTTCTCACTGTAGGTAATTCAAGTCAGTTTTTTGTTTTGTTTTTAAAGTAAGCTCTATGCCCAGTGTGGGGCTCTACTCACAACCCTGAGATCAGGAGTTGCATGCTCTATTGACTGAGCCAGCCAGGCGTCCCTCAAGTCAGTTTTTTAAATGGTAAAAGAAAGCAGATACTCTATGGAGTAGAACATAAAATGTGCATCTTGCACCTTAGTGAAGAGTATGGGACTTGGAGCCAGGCAGACCGGGGAATTTGATCTTTGGTTAAGCTCAGGTAATCTGCTAAGATGGTATGTTAGGTATGCTAACAGTCAACACTCCCTAAGATCACACTGACCCCTGACTGGTAAATTGCTTCTGGACTTGGAAGAGTAAGAAACCATTTATACAAACTGGATAGGAAGTCAGAGCCTGGACTTCCTGAGTGGTGATCTTGTACCTAGGTATGTCCAAGCGGGGAACCGAGGAGTATGCCTGTGGAGTGTTACAGGACCTCTGACCCCTCGTCTACCAGGGCAGCTCTCACCTTTGCCTGCGGGGCATCTTGTCTACCTTGTACCAGTGAGGACTCCACAGAAGGCATGATGCTGCCCTGCTGGCAAGCTGTGGCTCTGCCCACTATTCCTCTGACGAGACCCAGTGCCCACCGTGGCTTCTGGTCATCTTGTGAGTCTGAATGTTTGTGATCGAAGAAAATCACCCATTGATGGACAGGATAGTGCTGACTTCAGAGGACGGTTCTAAAGATTAAATGAGGGAGTAGTGCTTGGGTGGCTCAGTCGGTTAAGCGTCTGCCTTCGGCTCGGGTCATGATCCCAGGGTCCTGGAATGGAGCCCCGCATTGGGCTCCCTGCTCCGCGGGAAGCCTGCTTCTCCCTCTCCTACTCCCCCTGCTTGTGTTCCCTCTCTCACTTTGTCTCTCTCTGTCAAATAAACAAAATCTTAAAAAAAAAAAAAAAATAGCTCATGCCATTTATTGTAAAATACTCTCCTACAGCTCAGATATAAAACAACAACCATAAGAAACCACAACAACGTGCCCACACATCCCCTACCTTCACCCCAACAGGAGTTTGGTCAGCTATGGATAACAATCTATTTTAGGCTTATATCTGCTAAGTCCTTTCTAGAAGTGAGAACGAGACATCATGTTAAAAGCATTAAACATGAAACTCATAAAGCACTTCTGCCAACCTTCCTCTCCCTCCACCCTCCCTCCTCCTCTCTTGGATTGCTGGTTGTGAACTTGCTCACAGCTCAACTCGTAAATCAGGGCAACCCTGCCATACCAATATACACAGCTGCATGATTTATTCCCGGGGACCACACACACACACACACACACACACACACACACACCCCACGGGTACACACCTCGGGAGTGGTGATTACAATTCACCAGCTTCTCACTGGCAATACTGCCCAGCTCTTCCTCTTTCACTTATCAACCATGACTTTACCTATTTTTTGATACCTATTAAACCCCAAAGTTTTAAAGCAATGTTCCACCAATACAGTTCTTTGACAAAAGATGGGCAGATTCCCAATGGCAAGGCATCCCTTGGGGAGCCAAGTTTATAAAGAACCTGATGCGACAGAGGAAGGCTGTGAGTACAGCCAAGAGCGGGAGACTCGAGTGGTTGGGCTTTGACCAGAAAGGCAGGTAAATCTACTTCCCACCTTGAAGGCAGCTGCACTGTGACACATCCTTGAAGGACCACAGCCCCGATCTTTCCATCGTCCCTACTGGAAATGTCCCCCCGTATTCCCACGGCTGAGAGGGAAGTCAGGCTTGGGAAGCCACATCGCCCTGCGGTCTGCGTTTTTCTTGATGCGTTTTGACACGATGGGTCATCTTTTCTGAAGCCCTCAGTAATAGCAGCCAACATGGGGGCGCTTCAGAGCTGGAAGAAACCCAGGTAAGACAGATCGCCTAGTCTAACCCCCTCATTTCTCACATTAACTGGGAACTGAAGCGGAGCGGCCTGTGCAAGGTCACTTTGCTGGCGGGGGGCAGAACTGGCATGAGAGAACTTCAGCCTCAGGGCTGCACCCAATGCTCCCAGCTCTGCCATGGGCATGTCAAAGACCTCGGAGCTTTCTTGCTTTTGCTTCAGAGTCCTGGTCTTCAAGGTTGAAAGGGCTCAAGGACCCAGAGCTTAGGGCGTGGGGCAATGTAGAGGGAACCCCTCTGGGGGTTTATATGTTGGAAGTGGGGTGGGTTGGGAGACAGGAGGCCTCATTCTCTCCATGTCGGCCAAGCTCTGCTGGGTGGGGCTGCCTGACTCCTGGGTGGGGGGACCCTGGCTTTGTAGCCTCGCGGGGCTGTGATGTGAGGAAGCCTAGCTATGCCTGCCTCCCTGAATTCTTTCTGCTTTGCAATAGGATCTGTTGTAATCTCGTGGTAGTAGTGTGCTATTGTGGGTTTGTACTGGCTTGTAAGAGCTGGTCATTAAATTTTCAGGGATTCTTGTGAGCCAGTTGTTAAACACCCATTATTAAAAATTAAATTATGTGAATTTATAATTAAGTATATTTTTAAAAAGGTAATATGCAAAGCTTATCAATTCTTAATTATTTTATCCCATTTTACTATTATTTAAGTTTTCGGGGTTATTTGCATTAATATCCTATCTCTTTGCTGTAATTATCATATAATGGTGTGCTACTATACACCTCTTCCCAACTCTGTTCAATGACACCATGTTGGTAGATTGAAGTTGTTCCACAGTGGGAGTATTTACACCATGGAAATTGGCAAATATTACCAATCAGGGCTTTTTTTCTCTCCAAAAGTCAGTTATTCAACATTTATCAGAACACCTTGTAGTTATTATTATTGTTCTTTTTAACGTAGAAAAGAGCACTTGAAC